ATAACTCAATAACCCAAATTTCAAACCTTGAAAATACGCACAAACAACCAAAACAGGAAACTGCTAAGAATAAAACAGCTCAATAAATAAAAAATATCAAATCACGGAAAAACTCAGCTAGCTTGGAGAAATAATTGTTCATTTGCGTTTTTTAATAGTAATATTAGTTTATTAGGTTTATTGATTTTTGTAATTTTCACGTAATTGTAGGACACTTAACATAGTGTATGTTCTAGAAATGTGTTTATATGATTTTAAGAACTTAAATAAATTTAAACAAAATAAAGATTTTCATAATTATTGAAACTATAATTTTATACAATAAGATTCCGAACATTTATTTAAAAATAAACTTAGTTTTTAAAAACATATAATTGCTACTCTGTCGAGGATTCTATGAATTTTAAATATTATTTGTAATAACTACTAGTATTGTATGACCAATTTTCTTGTTTAATCATATATATTTTAAAATGTCTATATTAAATAAATTCTATCTAACCGACGTTATTTTCTATAATATATTTTCATTTTTATAAGTTTTATCCCAAATATTAAAAACGGTAACTTACAATGTTTATTCCAATAGAATTTACGGACTATTTTGAACTGTTTCTCTTATATTTTTGAGTTTCGAAAAATCAACACTTTCTTCATTCTATTTGACATTCGTAAATACCAAAAGGTACACAAGGTACAAAAAGGAATCGTTTATAAAAATGAATGAAACTATTTTTCTTGAGTATCATCCAAGCTGAAAGAGGTAGTAAAAATTTAAAATATCCATTCTAGTCGATTCCCAGAGATTTTCCCTTTGGCTTCGCAACTGTGTGCGGCACAGTTGGTTCGTGCCCTGGCATCTCATTTACGGTCTTTTTAATATTCAATGAAGTGTTCCAGTTCCGGTTAATGAAAATTTTAACTATCTACTGTCTAAAGTTTATCGACTACTTATCCAATTTGTTTGTAGTCCTAGCGGTTATTGCCTTTTACAAAAAATATAGTAATATGTACTATGTACTTAATTAATAAAAACAATGTATTTTCCGCTGACATTTTAGTTATACTTGCTTGCACTAGTGTGGAAAAAAATCCATATTTCTTAAATTAAATTAATCTGCTTGGTTATACGAGTATATTTTTGCTTTATTATTCTAAATTATCAGTTTTTATCTATTATAATTTTCTGTTATAAAAATACACAGAGTGGCCCAAAAGTCTGGAAACGGCCAATTTGGGGTACACTTATTTTGGGATACGGAGATTCCAGATTTGATATTTGCAATGTTGCCAGATTTGCCGTTTCTCTTATATTATTAGTCACTTTGGTTTTTCAAATTCATCACCCTGTATATTCAGTCATTATTGGAATCTTCTATTCAATACAAGTTCAACCATAAGTAACACATAATTTTATTTAGTCTAGATGGTGTTAAATAAATAAAACAATGCAAAATATGTAGATTTGAAGAAATTTAAATGTTTAAATCTAGAATGCTGTGATTTTGACATTTGTTCGCCATTTACATTATTAACTAAAACTGACAGTAGTCTGATGTGTTTTGAAAAGTTCTGCTAGATAAATTGCTTCTCTAAAATGGCTCTTAACGAAAAAGAACGAATTACTATTCTAATGATGAGAAGGTACGGCGACAGAAAAAGATCTTATTGTAAAATAGCCAACTTGTTCAACGATACTTTCCCAAACTGTTCTCCTATTCATAAGGCGCGACGGTACAAAAAACTGTAAAGCGCTTTGAGGAATCTGGAGGAGTAAAAGATAGATACCGATCAGGTAGACCGAAAAGAGTTATGAATAACAAGTAATCTTTTAATATAATGCAGTTTTGTTGAAGATCCACATACATCCTCACGCAGGGTTGCACAAGTACATAATGTAGGTCGTTCTACAGCCTTACGTGTATTACATAAAAAGAAATTTAAACCATACAAAATACACTTATTGCCAGAATTAAGTGAAGATGACTTCGATCGTAGATTAGAGTTTACTGAGGTAATCATGGATAAAATTGATAATGATGAAAATTTCGTTAATATAATATGTTTTTCCGATGAAGCAACCTGTACACTGTGTGGGAGTGTAAATCGACATAATTTAAGGTACTGGAGTGACGTCAATCCACACTGGATGCGTGAAAACCATACTCAAAGACTACAAAAATTAGAAAGGAAATTTAACGTCAGATAGTTACGAAATGCTACTTAGAAATGAAATTGTACCTACACTGAGAAACTTATTTGGAGCCAATTTTAATCAGATATGGTTTCAGCAAGATGAAGCTCCAGCTCATTTTGGTGTAAATGTTTGGCGTTATTTCGATGAGATATTTTCCGGACGATGGATTGTTAGACCAGCTAGTATTGAATGGCCTCCACGTTCATCTGATTTAAATCCTGAAGATTATTTTTTTGGGGATACTTGAAAAATTCAGTTTACAAAACTAAACCAGCAAGTCTTGCAGAGCTAAGTCAATGAATTATCGATGAATCTCGATTAATTTCTAGACAATCACGGAAAAATGTGGTTGACGCATTCTACCATCGATTAGGGTACTGTCAACTCACAAATGGAGCACATTTTGAACACTTTGAAAAGTAACCATTATGTTAAAAATGTAATCTATCAATTGTTACATTTTAATGTAGTTGAGAATAGTTTGTATTAAAAAAATTATTGAGACAATTAGGCGTTGCCAGACTTCTGTTTTATGTATTTAAGACCTTCCAGACTACATACATAAGTATTACTTATGAGTGAACTCGTATTGAATAGGAGATTCCATTAATGATTAATACATTGTGATGAATTTGAATAACCAAAGTGACTAATAATATAAGAGAAACGGCAAATCTGGCAACATTGCAAATATCAAATCTGGAATCTCCGTATCCCAAAATAGGTGTACCGCAAATTTTGTACAATTAGGTCGAGCAATTTACGAGATAATTGGCCGTTTCCAGACTTTTGGGCCACTCCGTATATTTGTCAATACATTTAAAAAAAGAACAAGGTAGTAAAAATCTTTAAAAAAAGTATTTTTAAGTGTCATGTTATGATGGCCATATTTTTAAGACAGCTTGTATAGAACGAGGATGGAGGGTTCGAATCCTTTCGGGACAGTTTTTATTGTTAAAAAAAAATTGGTTTTACTTTGTGGGTTTAAAAATAGTTTTTAATATTTCGTAAGTACAATTTAAAAAAAAAAGTTCGAAAAATAATAGAAAAGATTAAGCCCAATATGTCAATTCCATCATTTCTTGTCAGGGATTGTATACATACCTACATATTCTGGCAAATTTTTAATTTAAAATTGCATAATTCCTAGAAAGTTTCCATAATTACTCCAGTGTACAAAAAAAGGCAGCAAAAATGATGGTTGTAATTATTATCGAGCCATTAGCATCCTTTGCTATTTTGCTAAATTATTCGAAATATAATTATTAACGATCATATTTCCAAATACGTTTCCCGTCTTATAAGTTGTGATCAAATTTTGTTTTTAATGTTAATTGATTTTTAATTTTATACACGGCCGTAGAAAATATCATGTTTCTTACTCATTCGAAAAGCGACTTACGTTTACTTTTTTATACTTATTTCGATTTTTCTTACAGATATTTTGCAATATACAGGTTTTTTTTGTACCCAGCGAATATATCATTACATTTCTAATTTACATCAATATTTTCGAAAAGTATGGTAAAACCCCGCTTATTGAAATTAATTGAGATATCTGAAACTGTAAATAGTTTTTAAAGTTACACATAAACAACTTTTTAAAAAATATCCAAAAATAAGAAACTTCCAAAATGTATCTAATACGGTCCTGTCCGTAGCTAGCACTTTTGTCAAAAAATGTTGATCTCAGTTATGCCGTTATAAGAACCATTCACAAAACTGAACTTTTCTGGGGAAATATTCAACTTATAGTGCTTAGACACGTTAAACGTTCCCGCAATGTTGTCCACACTTTTCATGGGAATGCGTTCACTGTACAATACCGATGCAGCAGCTGCACTCTAAAGACACTCGTCATAAATAAGCAACCTATGCCCAAAGTTCATTCATAATTTACCATACTAAACAAATTAAATTTACTAGGTACTTCAGATAAACACACTACAGAAATAACGATTCAGTTACAATACGGTAGATATTGATTCATTAGAAACTCCAAAAACAGTAAAGAATATAAACAAATTATTTAGCTAAATTTTAATACACAAATCCAGACACGGATTTATATTTTTTAATTCTGTATTTCTTATTTTTGAGTTTTTTGAAAAGTTATTTATTTAACGAAAAAAAAAAGTATCAACTCAAGATTCACCTTGTATAAAAAGGAGGCGCAATATGAATTCCGCGATCGCTACCGATTCTTAGTGAAAAATAAACAATTGCAAATTTTTTATGATTGTTTGGTTTGTATTATTATTACTTTTTTTTAAGTTAAAAATAAATCTATAACTACAGATAAAATAACTACCTAGTCAGAAATCTAAAATTAATCCGAGTAATGGATTGTAATTCTTCTACAAAAGAAAACTAAGGTTTTTCCATCAGCAAAAGAAATAATTTCCAAATTAATTTTTATATAGATTTTCTTTAAATATTACTATAAATATTTTGGCAGAATTGGAAAGAAATTTAATATACCGCCACGACTATTAATTAATTCGGTGTTTGGGAGCAAATCAATTGCTTTAATTCTTTGATATGAATTAAATTGAATAATCGCTTTGCGCTTAATTAAATTTTGTAATTGCGTGTGGGTGTAAGGCCAGTATAAATTTTGACAAACCGCCAATTTTATAATTTTTGTGGAATTAATTATTAACTAAAATTACGCAATTTAAAACAAAACAAATAATTTTTTTATAAATTATGTCCTCGTAATTTTTATATTTTTCATGCATTGTCAATTTTAATTACTGATCGATTTTTATAGATTTTTATTAAAAAACCTTTTTCTTTACAGACTGATCCGAATACAGCATTTTTGAGGGCAGCTAGAGCTGGACAACTCGATAAAATACTAGAATATCTGGATTCGGGCACTGTGCGAGATATAAATACATCAAATGCTGTAAGTACCTTTTTGTCATAATTTTCGTTTGTTACACTGCTTCCTTCCATTTCCTTCTCGCCTTCCCCTCTTCTTCCTCCCTTCCGGTATTTTCCATACTATATATTTTTGTATTTAACATATCAGTTCTGCAGCGTTGTCAACCCTTTGTATTCAAATTTGAACGCTTTTAGATGGTTTTTAAACTCTTTTTAAATTGTTAGAAAATTACTTTCATATTATCTATACTTCGTTATAAGGTCAATATTTACATAAAATCTAATACCTAAAAACGTGTATTGGACATACAAAAAAAAACTTATTAAAAAATCGGTAATATTTTTACCCAGAACTTTTCAAGATATAGAAAAACAGGGAAGAGATATTTTAAAATTCTAGATACTAATTTTACAAATATTTTTTTTTTTATAAAAAAAACACTCCAAAAGGGGCGTTTATTAATATTACAATCTGATCAGGAGTTGATCAATGAGTAATTTTGTTGTAACCTAACTTAACTAGGGTTGCAATCTTAAAAACTAAAGTTCTACTCGCTGGTATACCTTAGGGTCTGATAACTTAATTACACTAAACTAACGTGTAACACTAAACCGCACAATGCATTAGAATATTACTGTAGCTGGCACAACCACAGAGCTGAATGCCATAGGTCCAATTTGGTTTGAGAACTTGTTTATATAATAGAATTGTGTTATATGTAGATAGGCTGGAATGCCTACCAAGTAACCAGTACATTTTCTTGAATTTTATATCTAACTCTTGTTTTTTCTTTTGAACATGGATCTTCCAGCGAAGTCTTGCATCTAATGTAATACCTAGATATTTTTCCGAGTTAGCATAAGGGACCTGCGCATTATTTATGTTAATTGGTATCCTTTGCCATTTTTGTTAGTAAAATTAATATTAACAGATTTGGTTTCGTTTAGTTTAATACGCCATCTTTTGGTCCAATTATTTATTTATTAACTGATATTTGTAGTTTATTTGCAGCCTCTTCATGATCTTTGGCAGTATCATCTGCAAATGTAGCTATTGTGTCTTGTTCTAGTTGGGGTATGTCACAAGTGTATAACAGATACAAAGTTGGTCCCAGGACGCTTTCCTGTGGTACTCCTGCTTTAATTTCTTTCAATTCAGAGTATGCTTCATCTTGTTTTACTCTAAAGAATCCAATAGCTCTGAGTATGGCTCTGGAAGTAGCACATTCAGTTTATGGTTTAAGCCATCATGCCATACTTTATTAAAAGCCTGCGCAACATCGAGGAATATGGCTGAACAGACTTCTTTGTTTTTTAATGCTTTTTCAATCGCATTTGAGATTCTATGAACCTGATCTATAGTTGAATGGTTTTTTCTAAAGCCGAATTGGTAATCTGGAATAAGTTTCCTTTCTTCAGTGATGGGTTTCAGTCTTTTTATTAGTATTTTTTCAAATAGTTTCGATATTATAGGCAATAGAAATATTGGCCTATAAGACGAAACTTCGTTCGGAGGTTTTCCTGGTTTGGGGATCATAATGACTTCAGCTACTTTCCACAATCTAGGGACATACCTTAGTTTGCATGAGGCATTAAACAGGTGTGTAAGTTTAATTATGGCTTTCTTCGGAAGTTGTTTTAAGATTTTTCCTGTAATATCAAAGCCTGGAGCTTTCTTAGGATTAATATTTGTTTTTATATCTTCTGTAATTTCTTTTGGAGAGGTTGGTCTGATAATTAAGTCATCTCTCTCTAGAGGAGCCAAGTTCGGTAATTCTTCTCCTTCATTTGGTTCGAAGGTATTTTCTAAATGCTCTGCAAATCTATTAACTTTTTGTATATTATTTCTAGCCTAGCTACCATCTTTATTCCTGATTGGGGCATTCTGCACAGTGGGTCTTTTTAATCGCTTTGTGGCTTTTCATAGAGAATAATCGGTGGATTTATCGTTTGTCATCTCACTAAGGTACTCACAAATAGATTCATTTTTGATTCGTTTTATCTCTTTTTAACTGCTGGGTGGCGTTGTTAACTTTGGTTTTATCTGATGGAGCTCTGGTCTGATGCCATTTCCTTCTTAATTTTCTTTTTGTATAGATTAGGTCCCTTATTTCTTTAGGATAGTTATTTCCTGTTGTTCGCTGCACAATAGGTGGCGTATTATCCCATGTTGCTTGGTGTATGTTGGACACAAGTAGTTCTACTTCTTCATCTAGCTGTGTTTTTGTTCTTGATGGAACTGAAAAATTGATTTTATTTTCAAGGTCCAGTCTGAAGCTTTGCCAGTCTGTTCTCCTATTTATTAGTCTGGGAGCGCTTTCCTTTTGGATAGTGGTGTTACTAAGTGTGAGAAGAATAGGTGAATGATCTGAATTCATGTTCCTTGTCTCATCAACTTGGATGTAGTTTGATGAAATATTTCGTACAACAAAAAAGTCTATTAGGTCGGGTATTTTGTTTCTATCTGTGGGCCAATAAGTTGGTTTGCCAGTTGAATTCGACTCACATTTTAACTTTGTCATTGCTTCTTTTAGGTTTTTACCCTTAGTTGTTGTTAGTCTGGAGCCTCAATGGGCGTGTTTTGCATTAAAGTCGCCTCCAATGATAAATCTAGGATCTTGACTATTGAGGAAATTTGGTATTGTTCATTTTTAACGGTATGTCTTGGAGGACAATATACAGAAGTGACCATAATAGAAGGTTTAGATTTATCATTACTGAAGTAGCCTGAAATTCTTTCAGTCCTGTATCCCGCTTCTTGATGATGCTTAATTGCTTCTCTAAATATTACAGCATATAACAGCATATAACCGTCGTCGTAGCAAGGTGTGTGTGTGTGTTGCTCCGCGAAATTAATTAATTTCTACTGGTTATTAATTGAAACATAGTAATCTATTAATACCGCATGATTTGGAGATATATACAAGATGGTATGTGCATTCTTAATTTTATACATTAATTAAATGCAGTAGTTACTTTGATAAACAATGAACTGTGAATCTTGTGACACTGCGATAAGCCGAACAAAACCAGGTATTTCATGTGCTGGTTTTTGTGGACAAAAAGTATTTCACACCGGTTGTGTTGGAGTTCCATCGGACGTTGCCAAACATACTAAAACTTATGGCCTTCTATGGTATTGTCAGGAATGTTATCCTGCTGTTACTGATTTTAATAAGCATTTTTCGCACACTATGGATACTAAGCTAAAAGAGGTGATAGGAAATATGGAGAAACTATTCACTGAAGCTAAAGAAGAAATTTTTAAAATGGCCAAAGAAAATATTAGCAATATACCTCCCTCTGATTTAAATAAGTCAACTTATTCGCAAGTAGCTCAAGCGACATGTCAATCGGTTGTAGTTATTAAACCTAAGGATGCTACACAAAATAATATTCAAACTAAGGCTGATATTATGAGCAATATTAATCCCACTGAATTAAATATAAAAGTTTCAAAAGTTAAGAATACCAGAGATGGCGGAATACTTGTTGGGTGTAGTAAGAATGAAGACGCATCTAAATTTAAAGATGCAGCTAACGCAAAATTATCAGATGCTTACGAAGTTAAAGAAATTAAAAGTAGAAATCCGAAAATTAGAATAGTTGGAATGATTGAGAAGCATGAACCTGACGAACTTATTTCATTACTTAAGTACCAAAATGATGTCATCCAATCATCCAGAGTATGCAGCGTTGTGAAAATTTGGGCTACCAAGAAAAATGATAAGATGTATCAAGCAACTCTAGAAATTGATGCCGAAACTTATGTGAAAGCAATGTCTCTTCAAAGTCTTTTTGTTGGCTACGATGTATGTTCAGTGTTTGATGCTATAGATATCACATTATGTTACAAGTGCAGCGGTTTCGGTCATAACCAAGGGTCGTGTTTAAAAAATATTGCTTGTCCTAAATGTTCTCGACCACATCAAATTAAAGATTGTCCCATTGATTCTGAAATAAAATGTATTAACTGTATTAACGCTAAAACTTCTGATGTTAAACATTTTGCTTGGGATCACTCAAAGTGCCCTGTTTATCAGAAAAAACTTGAATATTATAAGAACTCTTTAATGTCATCGTAGCAATCATCAAGCATTTCTGATACTAGCCAACATAAACTTAGTGTATTTTACCAAAATGTTAGAGGATTAAACACTAAACTTGCAAAACTATTTAACAATTCCGTCGAATGTAACCACGACCTATTAGCACTGTCAGAAACTTGGTTGAGTTCTTCTGTGTACGACTCTGAATTATTTTTTAAAAATTATGTAGTATTTCGTTCTGACAGAAATTTTAATATTACCAATACTACTAAAGGGGGAGGTGTTTTAATTGCTTTAAAAAAAGAATACAATGCATTAAGACTAGATCTTTCTGAACTGACTACTTCTACTCCTTCTATTGACGTACTTGGTTTAAAAATTTCAGTCTCGAATAGCAATGTGTATGTTATATTACTTTATATTCCTCCCTCCACTAGTAATGATATATACGATGTCTTTTATGATATTTTATGTAATTACGAATGGTGCAACAATGATGAAGAACTGTTAATATTAGGGGATTTTAATATACCACATTATCATTCTAGTCGTAATGACATTACTTTGCAAAATGCTAGTATAGTTGCACTTGATAATTTTACCGAATTATTAGCTTTAAGACAATATAATAATACTCTTAATTTTAATAACCGTTTACTCGATTTAATCTTTAGTAGATCTGACATCGCTGTAAATCGTTCACTTGATCCATTAGTTGACGAAGATATTTTACATCCTTCATTAGAATTTCAACTATCTCTTTCTCAAATAAATACCAGTTTTGCTATGTCTAGTAAAGTATCTTACAATTTCAAAAAGGCAAATCTCCCTCAACTATACCAGACTATCTGTAGAATTAATTGGAGTAGTTTGAATGCATGCGCAACTTCTGAGGAGACTTGTGATTTATTTTATTCTATCTTAAATTCCGCAATTGCCGCTAATGTTCCAAAAACTGTACCAAGGTGCAATT